CCCCCCCCCCCCCCCCTACCGCTGGCCAACATTTTCCGGAAAAATGTTTTTGGGGACCCCAAAAGGAAGGGGGCCCAAACTTTTGAGTTCACCCCACCCTCCAAAGATATATCGGTCGGCACGTCTCTAGCAGTAGTAAACTGTTTGGGTTAATACAGTCGAACCCGGAACCCCTATCAAGTGGACACATTCGGGACCTCACCGATGTGTCGGCTTAAAAGAGGTGTCCAATTAAAAGGGGTTTACAACAGCGAACATAGCAAAAGGTAACGCCCCAGCCTAGGCCTTTACTCGGCTGACTTTGGCAGGTTTGGTTAATTTCGGGCTAGCATTTGGTTACTATCGCAAAAAGCGCTGAATATTAAAAAAAATAATAAAAATAGAAGGCCTAGGTCTAGGCTGGTAACGCCCAACTACTTTAGGAACAGTATAGAGATCAAAGGTAAACGTTCATCAGATGGGCCGGTCACGGTGTGGGACTTCCCTACGAGTTCAAGTTTCGAGAAGACAGTTTTTTCTTGCAACAAATTAAAGAAAGAAACTATAGAAAGTTTGTATTAGGAGAAATATACATAGAAATACCGCTAAACATTAATAACAAATACATGTCTATTGAATTTCCTTCAAATTAGTTTTAATATTGATTTTTATGAAAATTTAATTTAACATATTTACACTCATCAGTTGCTTTTGTCCGCGCTTATAAGAGAGGATATTCGGCTCATTGGGACGTTAAATTAATTAAGTGTACGCTTCCGCTGAGTAGGAGTGATGACAATAATATTTTAATAAAGAAATCATTGCGACCGGAGGTCGGGAGGTATGTGTCCGCTTAACCGCTTAAGAGAGGTGTCCGTTAATAGGGGTTCGAGTGTGTAACACAGTAAAACCACGCATATAAGAAACTAGATTTTTTCAAGTTAGCTTAAACAGGTTCTTGTGTACATGGTGCTTATCAGGAAATTAGGCTAAACAGGTTCTTAAATATAAGTTTTTATTTCCTTAAGAAAAAAGCGACTCAATTTCGGTAGTTGTATTATATAAATTATGCACAAATTATCCATGATGCTGGAAAACATTGCTTATAGTCACTATAGTATAGTTGAGATTGTCATGTACTATTTTCACTTTTAGCCAGGATCCTAAAAGAGGGCGTCCCATTTTGGTACGATACATCTACAGTAAGGGGGGGGGGGGGGGGTGTTCAAGAAAACGTTCCTCTGGAAAACCTTTGAAGTTTACGTTACTTCATATCAGTATCTGTTCCAAGCTCGTTCGAAATTTTTCAAACACACCTGGCTTTGTGAGTACTGAGTTTGTGCCGCTATGCTTCCTTTCTTAACTATGACATTTTCATTCAGCCAGGTACACCATCAAATTGATCAAAATGTTAAATGTATAATAATAATGAGAAATAAAGCCATTTTGTTTCAGATATATTAAATTAATATACTTAGGAAAATCATTGAAAATAATTTCCCTTTTTCCCCAGAATTTGGGCGTCCAAAGGCGTCCATTTTTTGTTCTATGGGCGTCCCAGGACGCCCTTCTGGCTAAAAGCCTGGTTCTGGGTCATTTTCATAACTTTGTGAAGAGCTTATTTTCTTTGTTTAAAAATGTTTAGTTTTGACTCTATTTGATAAAATAAGAACCTGCTCTGAAATTCTAGCCTAAACAGGTTCTTACTTGAAGGGAGTCTAAACAAAAAAAAATAGCCTAACAAGTTCTTAAATTCTAGGTTCTTATATGCGGGGTTGTACTGTAACATTTTACGGTATTTAAAAATCATCTTCAAAACACAGATTGTCAAATACAAATAGATATCTAACTGTATATAAATTATATATTAACAAATTGCTGGAAAATGCAATCAAACCGCCCAGCGGTTAAATAGTATACAATATATGTATAAAGTAGAAGTATACGATCTACTTGTCTATAAATATAGAATTTTTTTGCTATTAGAAAGGTTGTGGCCTAAATCAGTGGAGATCTAGAAATTGTGCAGTTTAACTGATATGTACAAACTAAATATCTTACGACACTAAGATAATGACAGTTGTTGACGAGAGTGCAGTTAGAGTAAGAGGAAAGCCACAAATTGGAACAAATTGCGTGGATCTGAAATTCTCTCTTGACCAAAATTGAGATTTTAAATGACATCTCGTATTTCATATTAATGACTTATCCAGTCCCAGGACTTGATCAAACTTCATCCAGTCCTAGGACTAGATCAAAACATGATCCAGTATTATATATAAGACTTGATCAAAACTTTATCCACTCCTAGAGCTTGGTCGGGCTTCATCTAGTCCTAGGCCTTGATAAGAACTTCCAGTCCTAGGATTTGATCAAACTTCATCCAGTCCTAGGACTAGATCAAAACTTCATCCAGTGTTACATATAAGACTTGATCAAAACTTTATCCACTCCTAGAGCTTGGTCGGACTTCATCCAGTCCTAGGACTAGATCAAAACTTCATACTATCCTAGGGCTTGATCAAAAACCATCCAGTCCCAGAACTTGATCAAAAGATCGGATGTCATAGGACTTGATCAAAATTCATCCAGTCCTAGGGCTTGATCAAAATTCATCCAGTCCTAGGATTTGATCAAACTTCATCCAGTCCCAGAACTTGATCAAAATTCATTCAGTCCTAGGACTTGAATAAAACTTCACTCAGCCTAAGACTTGATCAAAACGTTATCCAGTATAGGACTTGTCGAACCTTCATCCAGTCCTAGGACTGTGATAAAATCAAGGAATTTGGCAAGATTTTACAGTCAAACCGGATGTTCTCTTGAGGGCAACATTGCAATATTGTCCCACAATATTGCAGTTTTGATAGGGAGGTTGCTCTGAGCAATTTGTAACCGACGCGAACAAATTGCAAGTTGAAGTTCACAAAAGATTTGTAAACAAAGCCTCTGATTGGACTATAAGAAAAAGAGAAGCTCCAATTCAGTTGCTCAGACTATTTGATTGGCTTCCTTTTGCTAATAGTCCAATCAGATACCCTGGATTCCAGAATCTGTACTAAAATCACTAATTCTGTTTTGTGATTGGCGCGGTTTAATCAAAGAATCTTCCCGTTGAACCAGAGCCTTCGCGACGTTTCAATTTATTATTTACTGTCGAAGGCTCTGGAATCCAGGGTAACCAATCAGATTGCTTTGTTCACAAATCTTTTGTGAATTTCAACTTGCAATTTCTTCGTGTTGGTTGCAAATTGCTCAGAGCAATTTGCCTATCAAAATTGCAATATTGTGGGACAATATCGCAATGTTGCTCGCAACATCCGATTTGACTGTAAAGATCATATTATGAGAGTTGCATTTCCACGTGGTTGAAATCCTCTTTCTTGGTGCAGACTTCATTTGCTCGTAATAAATATCTCCCAGTTCAACTGGAAGTCGAAAACCCCTATATAGTCCCTACCTTAGACATCAGACCAAATACTTATCATATTATCAAGTCCAAAGAGATAGCCATCCTCGTGATTGCCTTCTTGCCACGTGGCGCGATGTGTAAGCCGGATGCCATCTTCAACTCTTATTGTTTTAGCAAAGTCTATCATCCACACATTCACATTCCCTTGAGAATCGTGGACGAAAAGCAATGAACTACCAATGACCTGCAAGGAAACCATTCAAATTTGATAAATTTAACCCATTAAGACGTATAATAGACCTTTCATTGGCATCAACTTGGTATACAGGGTGTATAAAAAAAAGCGCAACCTCGGATTTCAATTCCCAGGGGCCTAAAATCTTTTATGCTTTAGAATTGCAAAGAGATTTCCCAAGAAATTGACATTGTTTTGAAGACAAAAGATTTTAGGCGCCGGGGAATTTAAAATAGCACAACTGTCAAAATTACTGCACACGCGAGTGCATAAAGCAAAATTTATGCATTTATTTAATGCACAACAACAGTAATATGATCTATTAGCAATTCGATTTCAATTCCCAGGGGCCTAAAATCTTTTATGCTTTAGAATTGCAAAGTGATTTCCCAAGAAATTGACATTGTTTTGAAGACAAAAGATTTTAGGCGCCGGGGAATTTAAAATAGCACAACTGTCAAAATTACTGCACACGCGAGTGCATAAAGCAAAATTTATGCATTTATTTAATGCACAACAACATTAATATGACTATTAGCAATTCGATTTCAATTCCCAGGGGCCTTAAATCTTTTATGCTTAAGAATTGCAAAGTGATTTCTTAGGAAATTCCGAGGTTGCATTTTTTTTATACACCCTGTACATGAACTTGCGGTCAGAGCTCCACAACTGGACTCTGTAGCTCAGTTGGTTGGAGCACTGCACTGGAATCGCAGGGCCGCAGGTGTAATACTTCGATTCCTGCCAGAGGTCTAATAGTTGCATTTTCCATCAACATAACATTTATTTATAGTTCAATAGATAAATTTGGCTAACGTTTGTTTATACCCAATGGACCATTTGCATTATAGACTAAATTTTGATCTGGACAAGTCTAAACAAAAATTTCATTACAGCTTGAAAGAGCATCACAAAATTAGTAATATTCCAAAGTATCGTTGCGAAATGTTGTATAATGCGGATAATATAGCCTTGCGAAGTTTGCCGTTTTTCAGACATTTTGCATTACGCGGGGGAAATTGACAGCCCAATACCCTTTGGGGTCAACGTTTATTCACAAATCTTGTCCTACACCGTCACGTGTGTATTGTATTATTGGTGAATTTGACAAAAATACAATACACACGTGACGGTGAAGGACCAGATTTATGAATAAACATATGAGTTAGATTGTTATTCTAATGAGTTTCACAGCCACTATCTTCCCTTCCATAGGCTATGGTTTAACGCCAGACGACTTTACTCGTCAAGGGGGTAAAAATGTCTTGCCATTAACCCAATGAGCACCAGCGCTCTCCCCTTGACAAGTAAAATAGCTTGGCGTTATAGAATTGTACAGTCCTATATGAGTCCTACAACGAGTCTCACGTTTGAGAAAACGTTCTGCTGCGATTGTCTTCTTAATCGCACTAGAAATCGTAGCAAAAATTGCAAGTGTAAACAGGCCTTTACAACATACAGTACCTCGTGCGTTCTGAAGAACGGAGATGACTCCAAAACACCTCTGATTGCCTTCAGCCGTTGTAAATATTTCACCTGGTTTACAGAAATATAGCAGTTGTACTTAGATACAATACTAGATTCCCCTTATTACGTTTTCATAGCGCTTTGCATTGTGGTTATAGTAGTATCACTGATATTCAAGATGGCTTATTTTTTGTCCCGACCCGTGCAACTTTTAAAAAAGCTAGGGTCAGGTGAGCGATAGCCAACAGCAAAATATTCGCGAAAACATTCAATATTTTCATTCGAGGCCGCTATCTTTATCAGTGATACCACTATAACCACAATGCAAAGCGCTACGAAAACGTAATAAGAATCATCAATTTAAGAGTTGTTAACAGCTTGTTCCAAACTTGTTCCAACAACTAGGAACAAGCAGTGCGAACACAACTTGTCAACAGCTTGTGAACAAATTTGTAACAACTTGTTTGCAGACCTGTAACAAATTGTGCGTTTTTATGTGTGTACCTTTATAAAACGAAACACATTCTGAAGATTAGCGTCTTGAAACTCAGGATATGAGTCAAAACAAAACAAGAATGACTATGAGATATTTCGATGTTAGTCCAAATGAATCATCATCAGACTTAATCTTGAGTTTCAAGACACTAATCTTTGGACTACGTTTTGTTTATACTTCTTAAAATTGTCGGTTTGTGTTGTTTCAGTACCTTTATGCTGCCGTCGTTATTTATAAATTGTCGAAATTTTTCACATAGATTTTCTTTGCAACGCGTAGTCTTGAAATCTTTGTTTGGTTTCTCGCCAGCTTTCTAGAAACACAATACGACATAGAAAGCTAATTTGGGCATGTGTCGTCGAGCCAGGGCGTAAATCTGGGGGTGACACCTCCCTGATGTTTAAGAAAAGCAATTTTGTAGGGCCTGAAATATTCAATAATTTGTTGGGCAAAAATAAATCCAGTTTCAGTCCTTAAAAATTTGCTATTCTAATATACGTCGGTTTCTGACCAGCAAAATTCGGGAATTTTCCCCCAAAGTGAATTTCACAATTTTCTGGGGGAGCATGCCCCATACCTTCTAGGGGTCTCGTGCCTTTGGCGCTTGATACTTGTGCCTTCGCACGATCGTCCCTGGGCCTAAAAGACCAGATCCACTGCAAAAAGCAAGGTAGCATAAGACTGATGATGGTGTCTTCAACTCTACCGTCCTGCGGACCCTCATAAACGTTTTTGGTTTCCAAGCATCTTTACGTTCTTTCCTGACCACCCTACCACAATTAGACTCTCTCCTTGACGAGTAAAATATTAAAATCGTCTGGGATTAAATCGTTTGTCAGTAGACAGAGTAAAATAATAAATTTGCAGCTTAATGGTTAAATGGTATGCATATCTCACCTTAATTCCTTCAATTCTAAAGCCTAAACTTGCAGAAGAGCTGAGTTCTTCCCTCCACGTCATGTATCGAGGTTTACAAATACCTCCAACCTTGCGCTCTTCTTCCGTTGGTGCGTTTGGATCTACATCTATCATTTTCTGATACAGATCCTGGAAATATATATCATTACAGATCAGGCAATCTGTAGCAAAATTTTATCTATCAGTTAGACTGGATAGATGAGTATAAAGGTGGAGATGGAGATATATACTTTTGCTACCATCTGGAATGTACTGAGTAAAATCAGAGCTTGGAAATAATATTCATAGATTGTCCGGAAAAGTCCGATGAAAATGAAATTTGATCACAAATTTTCGAATTTGGTTGGACGTCTTTTCTATTTTTTTTTTTTACTCCCGGCGTCCGTTGAGTGGTAAATCAAGTCTCAATATAAAATAATACTTTAATTGCCAAACACCACTAGTATATACAGTATAGTTAAAATGCTTTTTAAAGTTAACAATTGTGTGTACTTTGCGGAATGATCAGAGATAACGGATTGCTATTTTTTGTCCGGACAAAATACGTCCAACCAATTTAGCATTCGGTTGCCCAAACTGTTATTTGGTCGGAAAATGTCCGATTTCCTACTCTGAAAATATTTACAAGTTGGATGAAAATTGAAATAACCTGGCTCTAGCTCCTCGTCTACGAGTCGATGAAGTAGCTAGGCTCCAATGAAAGATAATGACATTTGCTGTCAAAACAAGCTTGACAAAAACAGTTCTTTTTACATGAGACGTTTTCTTTGGATAAAGATCAAAGACAAATTTTCACCAGGTTAATTAAAGGAAACATTAGCAAGTGGCCTAAAACAAACCTTCCGTAATTTTGGTTTCTTTCTAGCTTCTTCTAACTCATCCTCCAGAAAAGTCCTAACAAGAACAAATAAGGGGTCATCCATTACTATCAACATTTTCACAAGTGTACAAAAGGTACGCTAAGGGGTTAACGGCCAACGCATGCTCTTAAAAATGTTGATGGTAGACTCATCGTCATTGAAATTTATTTTGAAATTGAAAATTTTGAAATTGAAATTCATTTCCAAATTGACATTTATTTTGAAATTGAACATCTATTTCCAAATTGAAATTTATTTTCAAATTGAAGGGAAAACTGAGGGGCATGGGGGTTGATGATACTAACCTTACACCCATTTTACAGTCCATTACTGATGGAGATTCAAAGCCAATCAGTAAATCTTGCAGGACCAAATAACCTTTTAACTTGGGGTTAAGAAAAAATTTCAAAGCTTGTGATATCTCATGGTGCCCATTGTTAACCCATTGAGCGCCAGCACTTCCCTTGACAAGTAAAATTGTCTGGTGTTAGACAGAGTGAAATAATTACTAATGTTAGTAAGTATACAATATGGCACTTAGGCACCAGTTACACCATATACCAGATTCACTTGGTACGACATGAATATATAATGCTCTGTCATAAAATTTCCCCCTTGACAATTTTCGTATAATTTTTTTCATATGTATGATTGCAATTTCAAGTGTTACGTGGCTTGACTTGCTATATTTCAAACTAACTACACAGGGTGTTAGCCAGAAGTAAAAAAATCTGCATTTATTTATTGTCAATGAAATATATACGGTACTGGTCTATTATCAGATGTGAAAAAAATAATTGAATTTCTATAACTATTTTTTGGCTGACCCAAATTGGGAAATTGCGACCTCAAGGTAATTGGGAAAACCGTGTTTAACGCAGAATTTTTGACTGTAGTTAACACCCTGCTACAACTTCATCATGAATCCAAGTTAATTTACACTGTTTATCATAGGAACATATAAAACATTTTCACAACAAAAAGGATACTTTCATCATTTTTAAAAACTTCTTTTCTGAACTCTGGTACATACGGTCTTAAAACATCTCTCATAAGTTTTATCAAAACTTCTTTTTCAATATTATTTGTTTTCTTCAAGATGGTTCCCTGTTCTCCTGCTTTGAAGTTACCTAGTACATGTATGAACAATTAGTAATACACACCCTAATTTGATAGTTGATGCAAATTAAGAATTCATCCCACAACAGCCCATTATGTTAAGTTATAATGGAAGCAGCAGGAATTCCTTATCAAGCTGTGAAACAAAGCAACAGCCATGATTATGTAATATTCCACGTACTAATTACCAAAGTCCAAAAACGCCTCAAAATGAAAATTTGTACACAATCTCTTATACAAATTTGAAATTACTTCCCAGGTTTTAAGCTGTACAAATAGTATGTTTCCTTCAGTAATTTGAAAAGTCAAATTAAATTTCTTGTACAGTTGCCAAAACACATATGTTCTAAGGCTGATTGACACAATTTACAAAGTTCTTTGTCTAAATTACTGTTGCATGCAATTACCTTCTTACAACTAAAGTAATGTAAATCGGGCACACAGCTTACCTACAGTACGACAACATAGGCAATTTGTGTGCTTGATTTACACCAAGAGCAGATTTTCATTTTTTTAAAAGGAGGGGAGGCAAAATTTCTAGTGGGACGTAAGCTGCACCACTGAGCGAGCTGCTGCAGGGGTTAGGCATTAGGGTTATTTAAGACTTTCACACAAACTAGGGGTGAAGCAAAATCTTGGTGGGGTTGAAAACGTTTGTAAGAGGGATTAGAGAGATTCTAGAGGGAGTTTAATTTAACACACTACCCCCCCCCCAGTAAATCTGCCCATGATTTACACAGTACAACCCAAGTTGTAATTAGGTTATATCACATGCTGAAGTGGTTGGTAAGATAGAGCATTAGACCTTAGGCAAAACTATGATGAAAATATTTTGCCAAGTGTAATTTTTATTCGCATTCGGTGACTTGGGAATGACAGCTTAATTAACCCTTTAAGTGGCAATATGCACCCTGACGTGCCACCCTGCTTTATTATTTTACTCTGTCTAATGCAGGATAATTTTACTCGTCAAGGGGAAAGAGTTGCCACTCAATGGGTTAAATCCTGCTTCTTATGTATTATTGTACCTAGACCATACCTTGATGTCCAGCCAGCTGGACCCAGGGAACTTTCTTCTTATAATTCTTTGCAAATGGTGCCCAGTGGATTATCCCTCTTATCTTCTTCCAATTGTTGGATTTTGGGCTGGTAGGCTAAAAAGATTTTGAGATTATACCAATTTACTTTTAACCACTTGGGTGTTAATTAGTCTTGACTATCAGGCAGATAGTCTGATTAACCCATTCATTGACCAGCGCTCTCCCCCTTGATGATCGAGTAATATTGTCTAGCATTGGACTGAGCGAAATAAGAAAGTCATTAGGGTACAATTTATGCAACTTTAAACCCATTGAGTTGTGTTGCATTTTCATCCACCCATAGCTTTATTATTTTACTCTTACCCAATGCCAGATGATTTTACTCATAAAGAGGAGAGCGCTACATGCAGGCCTGAATATAATTTTTTGTGCCCTGCCTGTCACAATGACCAGCATCAATGAAATTGTGCCTGTCACAAAATAAAATGTATCGGTCACCAAAACAAGCATCGGTATATTTGGTTCCATACTAATTACTAAAATAATAGTGACTAATAGTAAATAGGACATGCAAAAGTCATATGTAGGCATGTAGCTAGACTAGTTAGTGCTGCAGTTGAAGAAATTAAGTGCTAATACTGGGAACATTTATTTATTTATTTATATTTATAGAAAGTTTAGAAACAAATAATTGAACTCAAGTGGTCAAGTTAGTGAATGAGGTCATGAAATCAATAAATCATGTCTATCTCAGTCTATAAAAATGAATAAGTCCAAATGCTCAAATAATAACTATGACTATACTTTAGTTTGTTACAATGGCGCCACGCTTCATCGCCACTCGCATTCTGGACTTGATATCGCGAGAAACTCGCAACACCAATGCGTGGTATTATACAATCTTTCGATTCTTTGCGAAATAATTATTTTAGTCAATCTCATGTGTCAACATGCACGATTGCTCCCAAAAAGTTAAAAGACGATCGGTTTAAGGTTCCTTGTCCCAAAATGGACAATGATTTTTGCCGAACCATGTACTGGACAAAGTGACCGATGCAATCAAAATAGTACCTGTCAAAACGGTTGAAATTGCGGATTTGTACCGGACAAGGTCCGTGACCGGCCGCTAATATTCAGGCCTGGCTACATGGCAGTCAATGGGTCGATCACACTATCTGTGTCTAGTTAACTCAGTTGCATTGCACTTTAATAATGCACCCAGTACTTTATTATTTTACTCTGTCTAATGCCAGACAATTTTACTTGTCAAGGGGGAGCATTAATAATGGCACTCAGTGGGTTAAATTAAACTAGCTGCAAACTAACTGGTTGAGCTGATTGAAACCTACAAATGTATGTTACAAATTATATTGTAGTTTTGTGCAAGAATAGAAAATGTAATGTTACTGCAACTGTTAAAAATATCACACATAAAAATCTCACAGCTTGTCCAACAAGTCAGATTTTGTAGGTACCAGTATGTAATAAGTTGTGTAGCCTGCCGGTACTAGAGATAAGTCTTGTTGGCACAACTTGTACAAAGTCTGTTACTGTCATCATGGATCATAAAAATAGTCTGGTAGGAAACTCATGGTCACACATGATGCTTTCAGTGTGCCAATGCCGTCAACCTAGTTGAAAATTATGACATCACTAAATCCAAAATAATTCCACATTCAGCAATAATACAGCTGAGCATTTTAGCAAAAAAACATAAGAATACAACCATATGCCACTCTACGATGGAATATCTAAATATTGTTGGTCATTTTTGGGGAACATACATATCAAAATTAACGTCACAAATTTCAATTATACAATAGTATATTATTAGCACTGATGAAGATCCGGGCTTAAGGATCGAAAGCTTTGCAGTAATAAATTTACGTGGTGTTTCCACAAACAAAACTATTATATTTTATCACCATGCAATAGTAGTTTTGGTGATGCCAATTTCTTGACTGCATAAGTAAAAACAAAGCCTCGGATACTTTGCCGTGGCACAGGAAAGTGGTTTAAAAGACAATGAAACCATTTTAAATCTCAACATATGAAAATGCAGTAAACATTACTATATTTGTTGTGTTTGTGACGTACATCACAAATTTCAAATATATGTCACATCTTCTGGTGTCAGCTGTTTCCTATCCACTTTCGTAACTCTCCATGCTGTCATCAACCTCATAACAAGGTGATAGACTATAATAATTGTCAAAACAACTAGGAGTGGGATCAAGCAGTATTAACACATCCCTGACATACGGCTTGACATTAACCTTGTTACACCTTGTTTGCAGATATCAAGATATGTAACAACTTGCACACTTTTATGTGTGTAGATGCTAATGAGGGAACATTCAAGATTAATATTATAACTTTTACTAGGACTCATATTATTTTATCAAGTGACTGTGTATTGTTTTTCAAATTCAAATTGCCCAAAATAGCAAGCAAATTATGTTCCAGGCATCGATTTTATGAATGATGTTTTCAAAGAGATTATAATTATAGATTATGTAATCATGATTAAGACTATAAAACTCTTGCATCCATGATGACAAATAGAATATACTATTTTGTCCCTTTGTTTACAAAGAGGCATATTTAATAATTGATAAGAAAATTTTTTATACAAAAACTTGTATCAAAATATATGTACATGAATATTGTATAATTACTTTTGATTGCTATATTTCGTACAGTTTAGTACGTTGCAAGCAGATATAATCAGACTTAAAACCTAACGTACAAGCTCCAACACATATCTCAACTGCAAGACTTAATTCCAACTCACCTTGTTTGCCTAAATACGCCCTCGCAAATGATTAAGCTATACATTTTTACCAACACATACCAGAATAAATAGTTTTATAAACACACGAGACTACATTCCATTCTAGCCAGCTAAAAACAACATTGTCTTGCCGGGGGTATTAAATACATGCAAACATCACTGTTGAACCGTCTCTATTTTGTCGAAACACGATCATTTTGTGCCCAATTTTCTTGTTAAACCAAAACTGTTTTAATTATTATTATATCAAGGGCTTCCCCTTTGCTAAACACAAGCATACAATGTTTATATTAGAGTATAAATTCCAGCATCATTTTGCAAGTTGAATACTGTACGTATTCCATATTTCCATGTACATGTATAGCTTTCGTGTTGCGAAGCATATTTATATTAAGTTTGTTTAAAGCTTGATTTAACAAGCTAACTTTGCTGCAGCTGTGTCGAACAAAATGAATATAAAATTCTTGCTATTACCCTGTGGTTACTATGCACAAGCCCCTGCTGAAAATCGAGCTGAAAATTGCTCGAAACGCATGTTATAATCGGAAATTTATATACCTCTTCTATATTACCAGATCCACCACCTTCGTTCGGACAATCTTTTAACCCTCCTTCTTCGTCGTCGGTTAATCCCTCGATCTCCGTAATAATACTGTCACTACTGCAAGCCGAGCCCTCTCTGTTTAAAGGCGGCCTGTTTCTTCTTAATGCATCAGAATCGGAAAAGTCGTCCGTAATGCCATTGCCAATGGCATTGTCTGTCACGATATTCTGCTCGTAACTGGCTTCGTCCATATTTACCGAGTGGCCTGAGTTCAACACGACTATGGGCAGGTGGCGAGGAAAACCGTTTCTCGGTTTATGTACGCCGTATTTTGCCTCAAAGTCTGCACTCGAACAACACCGCGGACTTAGCTTTTCAGTCGTAATAAATTTCACAGCTTTTGTACACTCGCAACTTGCGATATTGTTTACATCCACATTCAGTTGATCGTCTAACTCCTCTTGATCTATCGCATTATTCCTTGTCAACTTATTAATATTTAACGAAGTAGTTTTGTCATCCCTCAATAACAGTTTCGTACATTCACAAAATTCCGGGTTTGGCATGTCCTCTTTCGCCCTGTCATGCTTTTCAGCCTTCGCGTTCGTGCTTCGAACCTCGCAGCCCTTCGGCGACGTACAACCTGCCGATGTATGTACGCAAGAATGACTCCGCTTGTCGGAAACTTGCACCGAAACTGAGCTCTTGTACACAGATTTTATTCCACTTGAATTTGTATTATCCTCGCTTAATAATGGGTCTGTCTTTTGTTCATTTCTCTCTGCACCGAGTGGATCTTGATAGCTTATTCTAGTGCGTGGTGGGTGATCCACTACACGAATAGTAACCTTATATTTTCGTCGGCCATTCATTTGATCTTGTGTTTACCCAGAACACGATATGATCGGATTCTGAAAGGGGGGTTGTCGACAACCAGAAGTTAAAATATCAATCACTTTGCTACAATAGTAATTCACAAATGGTAAAGTTTGTTTTAGGGCTGTATCAGCCTCGCAGCAGCTATATGTGAACTTGATTTTTTAAATGTCTGCAGTTGCGATTGATATTAAGTGACACTTGGTGTCAATTCTGTGTCTGACACGAAAGCACGGAATTGACGGAAGTGTGTAAAGTCACTGAACTGTTTTATATTATAATATGAATAATATTTGTAAAACATAAAATTTCGTTTTGAATGTTTTCATTCGCGCAGGCTTTTTTCGTAAAAGAAGCGATTGTTGCAAATTATGGAATGTTGTAAATTTGTAATGGCCTCTATTAAAATCTGTGGCTATATTCTTTGTCTTTGATCTCTTTTGAATTATAGATCTATTAGTGGGATACTATGGTCGGATAAGTTTCTACGTGCTTATAGCTAGACTGTGACAAGTGCTTTGCGTGGTATTACTATCCGTGTTTTTGCAACGATTGCTTTATTTTGTAATGACAGGTAATCTGTGCCGGTAAAGCATTAAAATCTTTATTATTAAAATCAGGATTAAAATATTGTGCCCACTGCCCATCTACGGTCGTCAGTTTATGACTCATTTTAATCATGTTTATTGATGCATCAGATTTATCCCGTCCTGCTCTTGCACGTCAAGGAAACAACTTTAACTACGTATTAAAAGATAAAGTGAAAGGACAAAAAGACATTTTACACACTGTGTAACGGACCTTGGATCCATATAGGATTAGGATGTGTTTTTAACCAAAATAGTCTTGTTTTGACATTATTAACACAAAACAGCATAGAACGTGGATGTATTTTTGAGGAAAAGTTGTTCAAACTTCAAGGTGAACTGATGAATATAATGATGACTTCAAAGGAAGGATGAAAGTCGAGATGAAAGTCATGAAAATTATTGTATTATAGGTTCTCCTGTAAATAGGTTTTATTCCGCTGAAAATGTTGTGATATTAACAACGAAACACAGCAGACTATAAATTGTTGTTATAAACTTGCCTGCTATATTTCGGTCTTACACAACTGACTATATCTATCAAAATTCTTCACTTGTAGAATGGAATGCAATACCACTAAGATTTTTCCTAAATAAAAGTGCTTATTTTATTTTCGCGCTAAAATCTCAGGGGCCGGTTGTCCAAAGGTGGATTAGCGCTAATCCAGGTTTAAAATTTAACCTACTGTTTTAGTTTGCATATTTCTGTATGTCCATTTATTTTAAAATGTCAGAAAAGAAAACTTCTATTGATCCAGACATGGTTTGTGAAGAAATCAGATTTCCAAATTTATAACGAAGTGACTATATGACCGGCAGCCGGTCACGGTTTATAAAATACTAAATGGCCGGCAGTCTAGTGACTATTGTTAAAGTTTAATTTTTATAAGATAAACCTATCCCCAACCCCAAACCCTTTTCTAACCCTAACCCCTAACCCCTAACCCTAACCTTTTGAGAGTTAGAAAAGTCGGGAAAAAAAGTTTAAAAATTTTTAAGAAAAAACAATGCTAAGTCAGACAAAACACATCGCGACCCCGACTGCGCTTAACTTTCCGCACGCAGCGCCCTTGCCGTATGAGCTAACGGCAAGCTCGGTAAAAGTAAACGCAAACAAAAGTTTTTATATTCAACTATAGTCACTAGACTGCCGGCCATTTAATATTTGATAAAGCGTGACCGGCTGCCGGTCATATAGTCACTTCGAATTTATAAACATGCTGTTAGGAAGTTTCCTTTGAATTTTAAGTTAACCTATAGGGTTAAGCTATTAACCGGCTTTTGAACTACCGGCTCCAGTACTATAAAATCTAAAGTAATATAACACTTACAAAATAAATAAAAGCAAAAACACTCGGCCTACCGCCCAGTGCAGAGTTTCGATACAATCCTCGGCATATAATATCCCAAATTACCCCTCCCCAATTATCCCCAACTTATGTCCAATATAAAAGATGGCGACCACTTCACGAGTTTTCGGCCGAAGTCTTCGATTAGCTCGCAACTTAAAAGTAAGTAAGAGATGTCGTTGAAAATAATACCAGTGTATAGCCAAATCCCTGCAGATTTTTTCTCACATATTTCTGTGTTTGTTAGTTAAACGGTTCCAAAGTTCAGAACCTCACAAGCGCGGCGCACGTGTCGAATTCAACTAGAAAATTGTCAAATGCTCAATTGGCTCGTCCTTTGGCGTCTGTCTGTGGTACGTCTTTAGAAAATGACAGTTTTAATGTTAAATTTAGGTTGGGTTTGGATGTAAACAGGGGCGGATCCAGCCAAAAATCTGACCGTAGCATTTTCCAAGACCTCGCATAGCTAGGGGGGTCCGGGGGCATGCCCCCCGGAAAATTTTTGAAATTTGAAGCCCGGAAATGCCATTTCCTGCGTTCTGAGCACTGCATGTGACCATTAAATTTGTCCTCATTGTATTCATTTCTCAAGCAAAAATAAGCCGAAATGATCTCAAAATGTAAACTACTGCTCGCGTATATTTTAACATACGATATCGGTATGATACTCGTATCATACGCATATCATTATCAATTGAATACCGAAATGCGCGTATCATCTACGAACGCGTGTATCATACGAATACGCATATCATATGAACGCGCGTATGATATGAATACGCGTATCTTACGAATATATACGCATTACAAACAAATATTAGCGCGCTATAAAACACGATATATATACGCGCGTATCATAATTCGCGTATTAATTCCAATACATGCAGGTATACTGTACATACGCGCACAAACGCTTTAATAAAGCGAAGTTAATAGCGAACACTATACTGAATACAGTAAAAACTCAAATTAAAATATAATGTGCATCTCTTATCATTCATAAGGCTTACCTGACTGGAAATGATTCGTTTTACTATCTGATTTTATTTCTACCTCGACGCATATAAATCCTTTAGCTTTCCGACGGCTTTCATTTCGAAATGCGCACAACCGTACTGTGGGTTCCCAATAGCATGTTGTTGATGAGCCAAACACAAATATCAGATATTCCATCGTTCTGGAGCAGTAGCCAATTTCATGCCACCGTAGCAAACTATAGCATTTGCCCCATTCCGATTGGTTTGCTACGTTTGACCGTAGCAAACCAATCAGAATGCCGTATATGCCAATTTTCGCTACGGTCAGATTCGACCTTAATGAATCTGACCGTAGCGAAAATTGATCATATATGGGCAACACGCTACGGTGTATTTCTGAAGGATGATATTTTCTAAGCTATAGTCCATTGCGTAATGACCCGCAAACGGGCAATTACAACCGTATTTTCGGGCGGGAATTCTTAAAACAATTAACGTTACGTATTATAAATGTCATCAATTTGTCAAAATAAAATGTTTTAGAACATATAAAACTAAATAAAATAAAACCTTGAAATATAAACAAGGAAAGTAAACAAAATATTGCTAAATTATATTTTAGATTGATTTTATGATCCATGTTAGAACTGGCCTATGGAAAATCTGACCGTAGCATATGCTACAGTTGCAACGGTCTAAATCCGCCCCTGGTAAACGTTGCCAGAAAATATGCCCAGAATTATTTGATATTGTCATATTGAGCTCTATATTAAAACTGGATTTATCTCTTTATTGCAACTTGCATGGTTATTATGGTTATATTGCTGTGATTTTAGCAGGGCCGCCCAGAGGTTGGCGGGGGCCCGGGGCAAATCCCGGAAAAAAAATTTTTCCGGACAATTTCCCCCCCCCCCCCGTCGCCAAAAAATTTTTGGTCAGTGTACCATTTTAGGGGTAAAAAATTTTTTCCGGAGTACAAAATTTTTCCGGACAAGTACGTTGCAATTGCTTTCAAGGAACTTTATCTCATTTTTTTATGCCAAAATTCGGTACTTAGCCCAAGAAAACAGATATCTTGTCCTTTGCGTGGAAATATTTAACACACAAAAAAGGCTGGGGCCCAACAAAAATTTTTCAGGGCCCCCAGCAACTCGGGGCAATTTGCCCCCCCCCTCTGGGCGGCCCTGGATTTTAGGTGTGATTTTCTTCTTTTGGATGTGAATGAGTTATGAATATTCAGATAAGGGTACATATATATACTCAAACTTTCATAAGTCTTCTACTTGTTCCCATCCATCAGAAGAAGTCATTTGCAGCACAAATTGCTAGTGTAAACTGGCCAACTCTTGTCACATGCAACCGAGGTGAAATTACAATCAGACAACTGTATTGAACAGCAATTGCATTAACCACTAATTTATGTCAGTTTTACTAGAAACACTCTCTTTATTATTATTTAGGGTTGTTAAATGGTTCATCAAAGTGTGGCCTTAAAACCATGATACAGTAGGTGCAATTTCAATGTATGAAATGATCTGATTTTGTAATTTAAATTATTGGATATATTGTTATTGTTATGTTCTAGGTTTGCGCCTCAGCAAGTTGCCAATGTCAGTTTGGCAGCAAGGAGTGCTGCGTTTCTAAGCCCAGATTCTCAAGGTATAAAACCAGAGTATGTTGTACCATAAATACAATGCCAGTACCACCCCATATTTGGTCATTCCAGAATATGAGAAAACATCGGAGGTATGCCTCCCCTACAGAGGAAATTGGAAGTTAAATGACAGAAAATTCCTCTGTGGGAGTGGTGCAGATCTTTTCTGGAACAACCCAATGAAATATACCAAGCCATCACATACCATACATTACTACAAAACTGTATATACCATTCCAAACCATAATGCACTTGTGTAGTATCACAGCATACAGTACCACACCCATTCCACATCATGCTATACCAAATCGTACCTTACCATACCACCTTGTAGTATTATGACATACTAAACTGTATCATACTATACCATACCACAGAATACCAAATACTCCATACCTTCCTCTATCATATATACCAAATTGTACTGGACCACTTTCATTCTAGGATCAGATGAAAGCAGTGTGTCAACGTCAGAAGGTAGTGACTCCAGTTGCGAAGCCATGGAGGGGCCTCATGGTGACGATGATGGACTAGTAATTACCAACAGTTCTACCAGCGAAGACTTATAACATTGGACTGCCTGACTGAGAGACTGGTGTTTTACCAAATACTATTAAAATGATTTTAATATCTATAACAAAAGGAGTTTCTATGTGAACTGTCAGCAAAATGTGTACAATGATTTCAACTAATTACTTGTATTTAGTCTTGCCACAAAATTATCTCAGTCAGGCAGTATTTCTTGTTTTGACAAGATCAGAACCAAAACTTTATAAAGTTATGTCATTGGTGTGTTATTTTATTTCATTAAAATTATATGAGATTTTATATCTCTGTGTGTGTTCAAACTACCATGTACTGTATGTTTCTGATCTCTTGCATGTTGGCATTGCAATATGCCTGGGGTTTCAATTCTACAAGTTCATTTTAAGTAACATGTAGAATGAGTACCTTCAGTTTGAGTGGTCTGTGCCCTGACTTGTCCCCAGTCGTCTCTGTGTTACTCTGTTTAAAGCGTGGGCAGGAGCAGGAAAGATGCAGCTCAGCACTCCTAGCGTGTGTGCTCACCTGCATCTTTCCTGCTTCCGCCCACACTTGAAACAGAGTATTCCACCCAGGGCTCCACTGAAAATCACTTTCGTGAGTGGACCCCCTGACTAAATATTATTATCTGGGTTTGTTTTCTGTTATTTCTATGTAATTAATTAACCAACAGGCTTAGACACAGAGGGCCAGCTTATATTCGGTATTGCTTGAGTGTTAATGAATATGGTGGGCCAATCTCGTTCCCTGAGCCTGGAATCCTCGGGAAGGAATGCGAGGCTCTGGGGTAATCCGTTGCCAGGAATCCTGGCTAAGATTGAACTACACATTCCATTTCAACGGCCAATCAGATTCCTCCCTGAAACAGATTATCCCAGAGCCTTGTGTTCCTTCTCGAGGATCGCAGGCTCGGGGAATGAGATTGATGGTGGGCTTATATACATGGGGCTTACCGGGGGAAGTGGGGTTATATTTGGAGGCCAGTTTACAGTATATTTGCTGTCCAATTTTTCACACATCCTAGCTGAATCTTACTGATATCACCTTGGTCACCTTTTTGTTAGGCTTTATAGTCAAAGTGAGATACTTCTCACAAGAGTACATACACTATGTGCAATATTTTAGAAACTTTATATCCAGGTTTAATATAAAGGAAGTTAATAATTATTAATAGGATTCATAAACACCGAAATATTAGCCAAACTAAGCACTTTCCTCTATTGACAATTGAAGCAAGTGTTAGACAAGAATATTTTCTCATCAACTATCGTCAAAAAAGGAAACAAAACAGTATGAAATATTAAAATATAAAGCTTTGTACCTTTTGTATCAGTACTAGAAAGTTGAACGAGGGCTAGAAACCAACAGCGGTGCAACCTCTTGGTTTATATAAATTGACGGTGTAGATTTCACTTCGCCTTCATCTTTTCCAGTCGATTTTAACCTTCGACAAGCAAATACATGTGAATAATATTTATAATATAGCATTTGTAAATTCTGAACGCTGATTGGCTAAGAGCCGTGTTGATGTAACTCCATGTCAACACGGGAAATTTTCCGCCGCTTGTAACACGGAAATTTTTCTTATTCTTCGGGCTTTTGACATTGCTATATTATAAAACAAATATAAAACATTTTTTCCGTATTGATATATAGTTATATCAACACTCGTGGAAGTTGGGAAAACTCGAAATTGTGTGAAAACACTCTGCCCTTCGGGCGTCGTGTTTCCACACAATTTCTCGTTTTCCCAATTTCCACTCGTGTTGATATAACTGTATATCAACACGGAAAATGTTTTATATTTGTTAATTTGTACACTGAAATTTCAAATTTCTGAGCCGTCTCGCACATATCTCGAACTCGCGGGACCGGCGCGATATTTTCCTACGTCCTGATTGGATGATGCCCACGCATGCGTTAGTTTCAAAGGTTTGAAAACACCGAGCTGAAGCGTCCCACGTGCACCGCGCAACTGTAACGTACTTATATACCGAATTGTTACCTTTACTTGTGTGTGGTAGTTACCGATCATAGGATCTTGCGAAAAGGGTGCCAGGCATAATGGTCTGGGGGCCGCCGGCACTCCCCCCCATCGTTCGTTCGATACCAGTTGGTAACTGAACCACTGCGGCCGCTGAACTTGGGGGGCATGCATTGGGGCATGTGGTCTCCCAATTATAGAGACTCGCTTCTTACGATATTAAACGTTGGGTTTAGCCAAAATCTAGCCTAAACGCTAACATACGGCGTTCTAGCGGCTAGCACGAGACGGATTTGACCTCGGATTTGACCGAGTTAGCAGAGTCGGGAAGTATGGACTGATGGAGTACTTTTGTTTTTAAAAAAATTATTTGTAATTTACCGCTCAACCGATCTTCTGTTCTGATTTACCGATCAATTGAATTGCGACTAAAAAAGTTAGCAGTGTGTTTTGTGCTTTTATCTAACTTATAAAAATCTAGTGAAAAATGTACCATTACTACTTGTTTATGTCATAATAGTCATATCAAATTTAAAAACACGATTAAAAACCTAAATTAAACTTTTTTAAGTTCTATTTATAAAGTTTCACGCCAGGACACCAGCTATTTTACCATTTTGTAGGTACCTGTCTACTTTCTGGTCCGCCTTGATCATGATCCACAAAAGCTCGTAATCTGATTGGCTAAATTAAGTGATCCGTTAATCCCACCAAGCTTGGAAGAGTGGTCCCCCAGGCGGCGCTATAAAATATGTGGCCCACAGCGAAAGTAACTGACTAAACTGAGCCATGCCCGTGGCAAAATAAAATTAACTGCAACGGCAAAACAAAATAAACTCGTGGGAAAATAAAGTTAACTCACGGCAAAATGAAATTAACTCAGGGCAAAATAAAAAGTCACGGCAAAATAAAGTTAACAAGACGCTCGAAAGTAATATTAACTCGCTGAGAAAGATTAACACTACACTCTACAGCTTTCACGTTTCCACAGCTAACTATTAGGGACTGTTGTTGGATATATTTTATATTGATATGACACCAATATGCTTCTCATAAAGTAGTTATCAATTAAAACTACGTTGTGTAGTTTAAGTTATAACCTTTTACCTTGAAATTGTCTTTGGCTCGTTTATATTCAAATTCAGTATATTTATATGATCGTGCACGGGAATTCAACGATTCAAATTTCGGCTTTTCAGAGTCGTGCACCAAGAAAAATACATTAACTAAACTAGCAAGAATGTTCAGAGTTAGACACAATGCAAAATCCATAGAAAATAGGTACAAATCGTTGAAAAACTTAACGAAATTGTCTGAAACATTTTGCCCACTCACGAAAGGCCGCCATTTTGAAAAGGATAAATTGGGTTAATTAGGCAGTCATTAATATTCTATTTTGTGACTATCGACCACGATCCACTTGGCTCGAAATCTCTCTTTCATTGTATGGGAGAAAAATGCGAGCCGAAACCTATACTCGCCAGGCACAGTGCCCAGCGAGTAATTATTTGGAAGAATTTTTTTTGAACCTTAATTTTACTGGTGCTAAAAAAATAAGAGGCCCCAAATTAAAAATTTGTCCCGAGCTCTCGAATTTCTCTGTGAGGCCCATAGGTGAGGCCCTACGACTAGCCATGGACTAGCTAATAGAGAATGGCTCTTGCTGGACCTCTAGAAAGAACAGCTACCAACTGACAGAGCCATCTGGTAAAAACTTAGTTTAGTTTAAGATAAAATCAAATGCTTATAGTAGATTAGAAACAATGTTTTCTCTTAAACTTTATATGAGTATTGAATACTTTGATGCTACAGTTATTTGTAATCTATGGTGTTGTACACCCTTACCATATTATTTCCTCTATTTAACACCCACCTCCTAATTAGCCCCCAGTCCAGACTTGCTGAAAAGGAATAAGTCCCTACCCTCTAGTAATTAAAAATGTAAACTTGTAGCGAAATATAAATACATATGTTCTAGATAGCATTTACTAATACTGCTGTGTATATATCGTTTACTGACACGGCTACATAATGGTAAAATGTATAACAAGCCTCCCGTCCAGAGCCAATTGGAAAAAAACGAACCCCCAGGGGCCTAGAGGAAATATGGTAATTGATAAAAGTTTACCTTAAAATATAAAGAAATCTTGGACTTCTTACAGAGTAAAGTTTGCTATATTATACACCACATAATTTCTAACCAAAGATTAAAATTCCGTTACTGTTTCATAAACACCAGGTTGTCCTTAACTTTGAGATATTACTAATTGTTCACTAATAGTGAAATTTAACTATAAACACACAAATAAATTGACTAAGCTCAACTAAGAACATAATTAACTAAGTGGGTGTAGGTAGTTCCGAAACCTTAAGAGGGGGGGGGGGGGCAAAAAGAGAGATAGAGTATCCCCTGTGGTCTCTGAAATGACTGTTCATGCACTTTCGAGGGAAATATTTTAGGTGCTTGACCAAACACGCAGATAATTTGATTTCGCTTGCAGGTAAGTTAACTATCAAACCTTGTTTGGTTTGCAAGAGCCATATTTTTGTTTTCGCAAAGCTAAAGAAAATATGGTTTCCTCGCGTATTTATCCTTTAGAATGTCCTCCAACATTGTCTTAAGAAGAAAGAATGAGATTCTTTGCAACGGTTTCAATTCCCAACATTGTTGAATATTAGCATAAACATCGTCAAGACAGGCTGGCGGTTTTGGAAGTCGTTTCCCTGACTTTAGAGCTTGAATCAACTGCAAGAAATTAAATTTCCATGTCAGGAGGTCCTACGTGTAATGTGGGTCTGTGGATTACTACTCTCAACAGGAAGGTATAGACCCATTGCACATGACGTCACAGCGCCGGTGACGATGCACCTGGAGGACAAATTGGCAATCTATGCACAATATAAATTTTGTAAACAAAGCAAATTTTGTAAAAGTTTATTATAATTTTGTATTAAAATGGTTAATTTTTGCGCTGAATGTGGTTGTTGTACCCGAACAGATACTGTTAGGCAGCGTTTACACTGTACCGTTTTCGTAGCGTTCTCGTATTGTTCTTAATCCTCAAGGGAACGCAAGACAATAGACTAGTTCTCTCGAACAATACGAGAACGCTACGAAAACGGTACAGTGTAAATGCTGCCTTAGGGAGCATCTGGAGGACACTCAAAGGATTTGTGACGTCAGTGCAATGGGTCCATAAAGGCCCATTTTCACTCAGGAAAATTTTCCGCAGAAAGAAGATTTTTTAAAATTTGATTGGCCGACACAAATTTTCCGTCGGAAAAAAAATTTGAAGTTGAAAATTTTCAACTTTTAACAATGATATTTTCGGAAAATTTTCTGTCCGTTGAAATTTTTCTTGAGTGGAAATGGGCCTTAAAGGCCGGATTCCACCAGGCGGAATTTTTCGACCGAAACGAAATTTCTCTTTGTCTTTTTACAATTAGTTCTGCTCGAGAGCTCTGAAACAAAGAGAAATTTCGATTCGGTCGAAAAATTTCGCCTAGTGGAAAACCGCCTTTAAGGTCCATTCCACTCAGGAAAATTTTCCGCAGAAAGATTATTTTGTAAAATGTGATTGGCCGACACACAAATTTTCCGTCGGAAAAAAATTTGAAATGATATTTTTGAAAATTTTTCTCTTAATTCACAATAATTTTTCAACCAGTGGACCATAATTGAAAAATTTTCTCTTAATTCACAATAATTTTTCAACCAGTGGACCATAAATTAAGGTAAATATTACTCATGAAATTTAATAAGGCAGCAGAATTCCAAGAACTGAGATTTCCAGGTACAAATTAAAAGGTGCTCATATGTTGGGAACATAATTCGCTGCCCCAATGCTGCGCGAAGTGTCAGCCAGTGCAAAAACCTGGGAAAGAAAAAGTAAGTGATCAAAACTGACCTCTGAGGTAAATTTGAATTTCCAATCTTCATAAGGACGTTTCCCGTAAGAAAACATTTCCCACAAGGTAACGCCTAAACTCCAAACATCGCTATAAACAGTGAATTTCTTTTGTTCCAAACACTCAGGAGCCAACCTATACGAATTAACAGCATGGGATGTACAGACATTCCAACCACTGGAGGTAAAATTTAGGGAGACTGTTCAGTTAATTGAAATCTAGTTCTTCTGGGAAAAAATAATAAAAATTAAGTCTTCTGAAATGGCGTTTCCTGCATTTTGGGACTATGTTGTTATAAGTGATCCTATAAATTGCCATAAAGTAACTTCAAAAAAGGTCAAGACAGACTATTATGTTGCTAAAAACAGTATATTTATCATTTTTTTAATGATATTTCTTGAATATTCTGAAAAATCGGGAGAATTTGATAAAAATCGGGAGACCGGGAGATTGCATAAATTTTCGGGAGACTCCCGGTAAAATCGGAAGAGTTGGAATGTCTGGATGTAATATTTCAAATCTATGACTATGACGACTGGAGTAGATTAGCTAGATATCAAGTCCGCGCAGTTGAAGTTGTGGAAGGTTCTCCTTCCAGTGTAGAGCAAAGAAGCAGTATTACCTTATTACAGGAAATTAACGATACACTTTATTAACGCGACATAAATTAACGTGTCATCTAATTAACGCGAATTGCTTTCAGGTACTTCTAAAACTGGTTACATTAACGCGAATCTGACAGTTTATGGTTAACAAGTTAATTTAACTAACGCGAGTCGAAGAATATAAACACAACAGCAAAAGTTAAATATTATATACTACCAATTAAAACAGTACGCGAGTAGATATATCAAAACTGTAACGTTGAAAGTTACAGTCACTGTTTAAGCCAATGTATATAAATATATAGTTCAGCTTAAAGGACAATGGCACCGAAAATTTTTATTGGCTATTTCAATCCTACTTGACGACCTAACTATGAAAATATTATCATTTCGTTCTCAAACATTTTAGTCTACGAGTGAAAATAAAAATGCATGCAAACTTTGTTTCGCCGCCATCTTGGAAATATTTTTTGAAAAATCATCTCGGGGGTCAATGAACTTTGTGACGTCATTGGATGGGTAGCACCAAAACTACAAGAGAGAATTCTATTGCGTGCGTGTTATGTTAGCTAAAAATATGCCGTTTTGAGCGTTATACTGGCCAACACTCTTCGCAATCAAACAAGATAAGTCTACACTATCAGATAAAAACATATCGAGCGACTGGGAAAGCAAGGAATGGCGCAATTTACAATACAGGTAATTGATCATAAAATATTGCATTAGTATTTGTCTTGTTACACTCGAATTTCTGCGTTTATTTAACACGGAGTAGGATATATACTATGAGAAATAGTGTTACAAACAAGTTACATACTTGGTAAAACTTTGCTGGCTTTTGTTTCGGCTCAAAATACACTACGCGTGGCAATACTCGGTATTGTTTATTGTCATGAAATTGTGTTTACCCAGCCAATGACGTCAGATAATGTATTTTGTGGCATAAATTAGCATACGCGCTTATTTTCAAAATGGCGGACAACTGTTGAACTTTTTATCAAATTTTCTCAACAACGAAACGCGACAAACCGGCCAAAATATGAAATTAAATAGTCCGCAAGTATACCTAATAGATATAAGTAATAAAAAATTTTGGGTGCCAATGTCCTTTAAGGTTCTGCCGACAGTGACAGTAAAGAGGTGGACTGATGTTTTTGTTTTGAGGTTTAATATGAGTTAAAAAAGTTCGTGTTATATAAAACAAATCAAGGTCTTTTTAATTAACAATAACTAAAATTTGCATGCTTGAAATTAACGATAACATAAATTAACATTAATTAAATTAACGCGAATTTTTAAAGTGCCTATACGACAATTTTTTTTATGATTGAATTGCAAAGTTCATTTAAAATCATAATATAACTTGTTATCTAAAACTTTATAATCTTTCCTGTAAATCAAGATTTTCGACTTTGTTTGATATACAAATCAGACTTAAATGACGTCACACTGCATAATGATTTTTAGAAAGAAAACGTTTCCTTGCCAAACATGTGATAATTCCACTGACATTGAAAGTGACATACTTTAAGAGCTATCAAAGCGATCATTTCGTCTGTAAATTTGAGATAATGAGAATTTTAACAAGCTACAACACAGTCTTCTGTAAAACGAATTATGCAGTGTGACGTCATTTAAGTCACATTTGTATATCAAACAAAGTCGAAAATCTTGACATACAGGAAATATTACAAAGTTTTAGAAAACAAGTTATATTGTGATTTTAAATGAACTTTGCAATCCAATCATAAAAAAAATTGTCGCATAGACACTTTAAAATCCGCATTAATAAAGTGCATCGTTAATTTCCTATAATAAGGTACTTACCATCTAATTGGTAATCTCTGATTCTCTCTGTGACTTCGGTAATAATCGTCGTCATAAATACGACTCAATCCAAAATCACTGATCTTCACATGCGACTCAGTGGCTACGAGGATATTTCTAGCTGCAAGATCACGATGCACGAGCTTTTTACTTTCCTGCAATAATTCCAGAAAAAGCGTAGTTAACAAGAGCAAGTTTTCTCTGATAATATTTGGTGACCACTTTTTAGTACTTATTAACTTTCTTATTTTAATTAGACATCATTGTAATTTTAAATTAGGTATATATTTTATAAAACTTGGGTCACTGTACCACAAAAAGAAATCTTACCAAATACTGCATTCCCATGGTGATTTGGATGGCAAACTGTAACAAAACCTCATTTCCAAGAATTACCTGACATAAAATAAAACACATGCAATCATGAGTAGATGGATTTCACTAAAGACTATCGTACAACCGGTAATTATCAGAGTGAGAAAATAAATTACGGACCTAGGGTTGCTGACCGGAAATTTTTTTCATTATACGTGGATTATAGTATAGTCTTGCATTCGGAGGTAAATAGAATAGAAAGATGTACAGGGTGTCTAAAAAAAACGCAATGGAAATTCAACAGACTGTCGTGCATCATAAACTTAGCTAAACAATTCCTGAATTTTTACATAAGACGAAGGAGCTGTTGTTTAGCTTTTCTATGATACTTTTTTTAAATCGTAACGATGAGAAATGGCCACATACTCGTCAAATAAAAATTGTCTGTCGAAATCACATTCTTCCACCGTTGGAAATTGAAATTACATTAGTTATGCAAAGTTAATCAATCCAAAAGCAACGCAAGCTTACTGCAAGCTATTTGTTTCGTAAGACGTTTTGATTACGAATGTTCTCTGTTCAGTGGTTAATTGAACCATGTTTAATGGACGTTTTTATTGTCTCACTAAGACGAAGATTGACGAGTTGAGCTCATTTTAGACAATTTAACATTCAATTTTAATTCCCTCTTGGCAATTGTCTATATGTTTTGTTTTCCATGCAATTCCCAACGGTTGAAGAATGTGATTTTGACAGGCAATTTTTATTTTACGAGTATGTGGCCATTACTCATCTTTACGATTTAAAAAGAGTATCATTGAAAAGCTAAACAACTGTTCTTTCGTCCTGGGTAAAAAATTAATTGTTTAGCCACGTTTGTGATGCACGACAGCCTGTTGAATTTCCATTGAGTTTTTTTTGAGACACCCTGTAGTTTAATTTGTTTGCTCTCATAAGCGTTAACAGCTCTGAGCTTGAACATCATCTTCTTCATGATTTTCGTCTTTCTGATGCACTTAATTGACCATTTGAGTTAATTAAATGGTCAATTAAGTCCACACTTAAAACACTAAGATAACAAGTTATTCATAACATACTGCGACATATTTTTTTTAGCTCTTAAAAACAAATATGTCACGTTTTCGTGATGTTCAATGAAACACAAGTATTACTCACAAATACAAATGTTATCCATTAATGCACATGGTCTTCTCTGAGCATGCGATGCGCTAACTCAGACAACATTGTTTACATCCCGCAAGTCCGTAACGTATAATATTCGATATTACTCCACCTCTGACCTCTGACCAGAGACGTTGCACGAAAAAAAACACAAAGTCAACATCCAAGAAAGTGCAGAGTAGGATAAATACAAAATCCACCGAAAAACGCGGTAAAATTCGTTGACAAATGAAGAAATTGTTTGAGTTCCGTATGACAAGGAATTAGAGTAATGTTTTACGACTTTTACGATTACTTTATAATCAGTGATCTTGCGTATAATTCAGGCCAATTTTTCAATGAATTGTACACAATATAGAGCCGCTCTGTAATGCGGTAGCTGGGATTTATGACTATATATTGCTGAATTAGATCAGGACTATGACTGTGTTGCAGAATTACATTAATTTAAATTGAATAAGTTAGTTAAATGCATTGCAAACCACACTAAAAAAATTTACTATAAAAACATTTTTTTAAATCTGAAAGAATGATACAGCGGAATAATATTGCAGACCATGTTTTTGATTAGGCGAAAAAGTTGTAGTGTCTACACCAGTAATGGAAAATGTTTTAAAAAGGTGCAGGCTCGTTAAGTCTGCTTCTCTTTAATAACTTGCATCTTTCTCCCACAAGCACGAAAAATACAGCAGCACAAACGCAGTATGAGATAAATAACGAGGCATATTACGACAAGAAGGAAGATGAAAACATCAAACATTTGCAATTTATATTCTGGTAAATCAATTGCTTCGCTGGTGAGATGAGGGGCACCATCATGACGTAATGCATATTCAATCCAATCAGCACCTTCCTGGCTTGGAGTCTGTTTTCTGTCCCGCATTATTGTTGAAAGTCTTTTAGTATTCTCCTTATAAACTTTGTTATTTAGAACCTCATTGATAGCATTTCGCAACACTTTGCCATTGGCCTTTATAGACTTCCATTCGATGGCCACACCAAGCTCTTTATATCGTACCACATCAGCCTGTCTGGGCTGGTCAGCTGCCATTGGTATGAGAACCATAGGAATCCCATGATAGACACTTTCCTGAAAGCTATTCATCCCACCATGGGTAACAAAAACTTTGGTAGACGAATGGCCTAAAATGTCATTAAATGAACACTCGTTTCTAGGAATCCATGGAATAATCTTTAAATTGTTTCCGAGATTTTTTGGCAGTGTACCAGAATATTTCCATAAAACCGCAGCAGACACCTGGCTCAGTTCATCCGCAATACTTTGAGCAAGGTCTATTGGATAGTCTGAGAAAACTGTGCCAAATGAGACCACTACGACGACCTTATTTTCACTCATATACTTATCCAAACGCTCTGGAAGCTTTCGCGCAGGCTCTGGTGAAATTGCCCCGATTACTTTAATATTGGCGCCGAGAGAACGAGACAGTCCAAGTACAAAATCATGCGGGATAAGTGCAATACCATGCGTTCTGCGCGCAGTTGCCGCATCCCTGAACTTCGAGTTAGCTTTCGCGTTCTTCTCCCAGAGATCTTCCAGTCCAGGCCTGAAAGTATGCCAAAAACCCATGCAAGTCACAAAACCTTTCAGTCGGTTTATAAACGAAAATTTGCTTGCGCTTGGCAATAATATGGAGGCCTCTAATGTCGCATATACTGGTGCTTGGGGGTAAGCAAAGACGTATACACCAATCCCAGTGGCGAAACCCGCAGTAGACACATCTACTCGAGTTACATTCAACATATCAGCCAGAATAACACAGCACTCGTTTATAACGTCGCACAGTACTAAATCAACAGTTGCTTTGAGTTCTGCAATCAAGCTTTCATTTTTTAAAAAGTCCTCACAGAATTGTCGAAACATCTGCTCGAGTTTTGGCATTGTTTTGGTTACCAAGTGAAATAATGCGAACATGTCCTTATTGTAGTTGCCGACTCTCGCGAAATTTAAAAACCAATCCTCAATATCTTCGTTGGTTAACGATGAATTGAATATCTTTATGTTCACGTCGTCGTAGGTTTCCTTCGCAAAATTCGGTAAAATGTGAGTGTATTTGTGTCCTCTTGTCTGAAGCTCTTTGCCAAGCTTCCATAACACTCGATGGTGACTGACAAAGCTCAAGGATGCGAAACCAAGTATATGTTCACATCGTGCTTGCTTGACCAAATATTCGGATACAAGAATTAGGCAAAATAGACGAACTGGCAATGTGTGCGTCTGTTTCATTTTAAAAGTTTCGCCGCACGTGAATTCAGGGAAAATGACACAATTTATGATCATTTATTGTTGTCGCAGGGAGCGAGGTAGCAATGTATTAAAATATCATGTGTCATAATTTTTGGTAGTGATGGGCGATACCGAGTACTCGGTATTCGATACCAGCGATACCACAAACAGCGGTATCGGTATCGATTACTGACGTGGTATCGTTCGATACTTGCACCCTTTTTTAATTAAATGACTTGTTTAATTTCACTTCTTGGTTGAATAAGACTTTATTACAAAAATAAGTGTGAATTTGGAAAAAATGAGGTTAATTGACAAAAATTTTAGAAAATTATGGAAATTTTTGGATTTTAGAAAAAAAAAATTTGATAAATGGGGAAAATTGTTGATGTCCGGAAAATTTTTGGTATGTCCGAAAAAAATTTTTAACCCCTAAAATGGTACACTGACCGAAATTTTTTTGGCGACGGGGGGGGAGGTCGCATACTGTAACGTAATGCTTTTACGCCGCTGACCGGCAGGTATCGAAAGTAGCGATACTAGCAATTTAAGTACTCACTTCCGGTATCGAAAATTGAAATTTTGTGTTCATTTTGGTATCGAAATAGGTATCGGTATCGGCCGATACCGATCTTAAAAGTATTGGTATCGGTATCGAATTAAAAATCCTGGTATCGCCCATCCCTAATTTTTGGACTGCATGATTAACTCATGATTAACTTTACGCATGATTAACATGATTACGCATGATTAACTTTTCAATTATGCATATATTACATAGTTGGCCTGTTGAAAGAAATAAACTCGTGTCAGGCAGTATTGCAGTGATATACGGCCGGGAAACATGTTTGCAACATCGGAATAGAATTTGTGAAATTTTTAAATAAACCATAAAAAATTAATAAAAACAATAATAATCAAACAGTAATATCATTTCGAGCTCAATATCCTGCCATACCACAGAATACTACACAGAAGTCCATCTCCATTGTTTTTAGCGTAAGCTCTATTCGTCATGATTCGTCACGCAGCAAGTACCGTAAACAGAAGCAGTCACCCCCCTGGACGTGCGCCATTTTTAGTATTTCCAGGGGGTGACTGCTTCTGTTTACGGTACTTGCTGAGTGACGAATCATGACGAATAGAGCTTACGCTAAAAACAATGGAGATGGACTTCTGTGTAGTATTCTGTGGCCATACCATGCATCCTATGACGTTATGTTACATTTTATAAAGCTATCTTTAAAACGGGGAACGGAGGAATGGAACGGAGGAATGGAACGGGGAATGGAACGAGGAATGGAACGGGGAATGGAACGGGGAATGGCACGGGGAATGGAACGGGGAATGGAACGGGGAATGGACGAAATCAGAAAAAACCCTAACATTTTGAAGATTTTTTATTAAATATTCTTATGAGTTGTTTTCGTTCCGTTATCGCAAGTGTAGCCTGCGTCGCATACTTCAAAGCTAGGCAAGTGTAGTGTTGAAGTAAAGCGTAATTGCTGCGGAGCGAGCGAGCCTGAAGCGAGCGAGCGTAGCAGCAGCCTAATATGTGCAGAGAGGGGGTTTTGAACTAAATTTTATTTAGCGCATGGAATTGTGGTCGTGCGCGCTTTCTATGCGCAGAACACAAATTTTAAACTCGCTCGAGTCTTCGAATTTTTATCGAATTTCTAAAGCTTTTTCAAGTCTAATGTTACGGTAACGCTTACATTTGTTTTGGACTTTGGCCACTGTCAGTTCTATATTTTTATAAAATTTTGGTTTCTTAGTGTGATAAATCTGTGTATATAGTCTATACTAGGTTACCCACAGGGCAGTAATGCTGCCTTCGACAGCAAAAGACAAACTACAGGGTGTTGAACGAGTCCTTCAGAAACATCCTATTATTGTTATCCTTGCAGGTTAACCCATTTATTGACAGTACCCTACCACTGACTGAGTATTAAAAATCGTCTGGCGTTGGACAGGGTAAATACTAAAGTAGGGGTCATTACTGTGCTGATGGATTAACAAGAGACATTGGCAGATAGGTTTGTTAACCCATTTACTGGCAGTACCCTATACCACTGACGAGTAAAATCTTCTGGCGCTGGACAAGGGAAGGGCGCATTGCCAGCTAATGGGTTAAACCACCGTGGTTAAACATAAGATTTGATGCTCCAGGAAATGTAAACAAGCTATCAGTGTAACATCCCAGTTTATATATTTATATACTCGGAATATTGATTTCTCGGTATATACGAGGTTATTTTAAAGTATAACAACCAGCGAAGAAGTAAGCCACTAACTACCCTACGCGGCTGCGCGCAGACTATATGACATATATATGCCATCCGTCCGGTCCGTCCGTCATTCATCCGTCCATCCATCCGTATCCGCGTTTTATCCTACCCGTTTTTAAAACACAAAGTTTGCATAATTAAGGAGTGCGGTTTGTCATGATCAACATTTTCAAAAGCGGCCAATTAGACCAGGGGTTAAAGGTCAATGACAATGACATGCAAGTGACATTTAACATTGCGTCTCACTAATTAAAGTTTGCGTGTTTAATGTTTATCAAAGAAAGCAAAAATATATACAAGACAATCTCACATGTGGAATTTGTTCACTTACGTACTGCCTTGTGATGCAGTACAAGTATAAATACAAAAGACAAAGCATTTGTAAATCCTAAAACATAATTAAATCATACGGCACATTCAAGATTTTATTAAATATCGTATTTCAGCTGCGTTTATACTGCTTGGCGCATTCGCTGCGTTATATTCATTTATATACACAGAAAAGCATCAAGCATGTCATTGTCCTTGCAGACCATAGGCAAAAAGCATTTGTCAACCACATACCAAATTTAAGCAATCTAATCATAGACATGTCATGGAAAGAATATGGAAATAATGTTGAATGAAAGCTAGCATCGCGTCTAATGTTAAAAGCACCGCATATAGTGCTCGAACCACTGCGTATATTAATTGCAAAAGCAACGCGTATGTAAATGGTGAAAGCACCTCGTATAATGCTGGAACCACCGCGTATAATGCGGGAACCACCGCGTGTTGTGGTGTCCCAGCTTCTTTAATGCATTCATTGTATAATGTTTGGAAGCGAAGCACAATAAATAAATAAATAAATATAGTGGCGAAAGCACCGTGTATAATGCCGAAAGCACCATGCACCGTATAATGCTAAAAGCACCCAACAAAATGCCGTTTGATCACTTTAAGCCAGCTACATATGGCTTTCCATAAAAGATCAAAGATGAAAGATGATCACATTGTCTGTTTGCCTTATGCCTGACCGCGCTGCACCACGGTTAAAATTCACTGGTACCGTCATGCAATGCGCCAAATGGAAAATTTTGATTTCGACCCACAAAACAAAATTAGGATCTGCTGCCTTGCTCGCTCGCTTCAGGCTCGCTCGCTGCGGCAGCAATAATGTGGTAAATGCGCCTAGCAGTAAGCAGACGACTTGATATGAAATCTGATCTTAATTTGCCTGTATGTCAATGAGACGCACATGTTTAATATCTGTCACCTCTGATTGCCCTTTAACCCCTGGTCTTTGCTACTACAATATATATTGCTTCTTCTCAGTTCCATTCACAGCTCACTAGTCGCTGCGAGTAATCACTGTGCTTGATATAATTTGTGCTATATAAGATTGTGCTTACTTTAATTCGTTCATTCCCCGTTTTAAAGATAACCCAATTATAATGTGTTTTTTTTTTTACCAGGTTGTCTCGCTTAGCGGGCCAGTTCGGCTTCCATACTACAGTCGCTAAGTTAGTGCAAAACCTGTATTATAAACTAGGAGTTACTATCGCAAGGAAAATGCTGCCGATATGTACATGTAGGATGTGCTACAAAAAGAGCGTTTTTCACTGTATGTATGATTTATTGTCTTACACATCGTCGTTCCTCAGTTACCTTCGTACAATTATATCTTACATCTAATCTTATGAAAAGTATATTTTAATATACTTAACAGTGCGACTTTGATAGTTGACACATAATACAAATGATAAAATGTGAATATTATTGAATGATTTTGTCACTCGTACAACTTTTAATTTGGCTATTCAAACAATTGATTTAAAATAGTTGAATTTATACTTACTGGGATGTTATTGCTTATTGGGATGTTGAAATTATGTTTGTTTTAAATACATTTAATTGATATTCCATAAATTCATTTTGTATGATTTCATTGACCTTGACGTTGTTCAAAATCATTTTGTATTGTATTGAAACTGTATGTCTATGACCCTATGTTATGTACTATATTAACCCATTGAGTCGCATTGCACCCTGATGCACCCTACTTTGAACAGTATTTTACTCTGTCTAACGCCAGACGATTTTACTCGTCAAGGGGAGAGTGCTGGCGCTTAATGGGTTAACTGATCTATCTGCCCATGTGTCTAGTTAACCCATTGGGTCGCATTGCACCCTGATGCACCCTACTTTGAAGAGTATTTTACTCTGTCTAACGCCAGACGATTTTACTCGTCAAAGGGAGAGCGCTGGCGCTTAATGGGTTAACACGCCCAAAATCTGTACTAAAACTGCTAATTCTGTTTTGTGATTGGATCTATCTGCCCATGTGTCTAGTTAACCCATTGGGTTGCATTGCACCCTGATGCACCCTACTTTAGTATTTTACTCTGTCTAACGCCAGAGTATTTTACTCTGTCTAACGCCAGACGATTTTACTCGTCAAGGGGAGAGCGCTGGCGCTTAATGGGTTAACACGCCCAAAATCTGTACTAAAACTGCTAATTCTGTTTTGTGATTGGCACAGTTTAATCAAAGAATCCTCCCGTTGAACCAGAGCCTTCACGATATTTCAATTTATTATTAACTGAAGGCTCTGGAATCCAGGATAGCTTGCCATTGAATACAGTGCAATGCTTATATTTTTGAATGAATAAGATCATACTCAGAACAGTCAGAACTGCAAAACTATATTGTTAGAAAGAAGTTGAAGTTGTGAGCATTATTGTGGTAACACAGCCATATGTATGTTTGTAAAAATATAGATTGTAAATATATTTAGCTTTATATGGGCAAATAAAA